GGTGTCACTGTGGAAATGCACAGCTACACCAAGAATGCAAACAGAAATAAAAATGACAGGATTCAATACACACACACCTTTCATTAATAACTTTAAATATCAATGGACTGAACTCCCCAGTCAAAAGACACAGACTAGTTGAATGGATTTAGAAACAAAACCCATCCCACTTTCAAGGACAGGGACTGCCATAAGGTGAAGGGATGGGAAAAAAATACTCCAAGCAAATGGTACAAAAAAAAGCAGGTGTTGCAATTCTGATATCTGACAAACTAGACTTTAAAACTAATCAGAAGAGATAAAGTGGGCCACTTCATTCTGATCAAAGGAACAATAAACCAAGAAGACATTACAATCACGAACATATATTCACCAAACTCTGGTTCAACCAACTTCATAAAAACAGTACTATAGGACTTTAAGACCCAGATTAATCCCAACTCATTAGTAGTAGGGGGCTTCAGTACTCCACTGTCTCCATTAGATAGGTCAACAGGACAGAGAAGAAACAGAGAGACATATGAATTAAATGATACCATACATCAAATGGACCTAACAGACATCTACTGAATATTCCACCCAAGCACAAAAGAATACATATTCTACTCAGTAGCCCTTGGAAGTTTCTCTAAGGGCACAAAACAAAGCTCAGCAAATACAAAAAGATTGAAATAATTCCGTGCATTCTCTCAGACCACAATGGAATAAAGCTTACAATCAACACCAGAAGAAGCCTTACTCACCACATGAACACATGGAGATTAAACAACACACTCCTGAATGATGAATGGGTCAAAAGAGAAATTAAGAAAGAAATAAAAGTATTCCTGGAACTAATTGTGAAAACGACAATACAATACAACAAAACCTCTGGGACATCCTGAAATCGGTCCTTAGAGGGAAGTTTATAGCTCTAAGAGCCTACGTCAAAAAATCAGAAAGAACACAAATAAATGACTTAAGGTTGCAACTCAGGACACTTGAAAAGCAACAGCAAACAAAACCCAAACCGAAACAGACAGGAAGAAATAACAAAAATCAGGGTAGAAATTAATGAAATTGAGACAAAGAAAACAATACAAATAATCAACCAATCCAAGAGCTGGTTCTTTAAAAAGATAAAGAAGATTGACAGACCGCTAGCCCAGTTAACCAAAAGAAAGAAAGAGCACCTCCAAATCAACAAAATCAGAGATGAAAGGGGAAACATCACAACAGACACCAGAAAGATACAGAACATTATAAGGGAATACTTTAAAACCCTATATTTTACTAAATTTGAAACCTAAAAGAAATGGATGGATATCTAAAGGCATGAGAATCACCAAAAGTAAACCAAGAAGAGATTAACAGCTTAAACAGACCCATATCACAAAAAGAAATTGAAACAGTAATACAAAACCTCCCAACTAAAAAAAGCCCAGGACCAGATGGATTTACAGCAGAATTCTATCAGACATTTAAAGAAGATCTACATCCAATACTAGTTAATTTGTTCAAAAAGAAATGGAGGGAGAACTTCCAAAATCATTTTGTGAAAACAGCCTCACTCTAATACCAAAGCCAGGTAAAGATACAACC